ATCCCAATTTGTTATAAATGTCTAAACTTGCCGTGCTTGGGGGGACCTTCAAAGTAATAAGTCCAGCTGGATAAGCATCACATCAAGACGGTCTGGATGTGTTTTAGCAGCACTGCCCCAAACCAGATCACAAGTCGTCAGATTGCATAAAAATAAATGACTTGACAAAGACGTTAAGTGTTCAAACAGGCAAGGAGTTTCGAGCACACAATAAGATCCAAATTCTTTTGAGACGGAAGACTCAATATATTCCAAGTGATCAGTCCATTGAAGTTTGGAAACCAGAATCACAGGAAGATATTTGATAACGATGTTGAACAAACAATGCTTGAAACATGGGGGTCATGTTTGAGACTCTCTGGCCTTTTGAGATGACTTGAACATCAGTATCACCTATTGTGATGTGAGGAACAGAGAACCAAAAAGCATAAATTGAAAAAAGTTGTCCTGGAAAGTCATGGAAACTTGGTGAAAAAAATAGGTAGTCTTAGACTAGAACAGTCCGCGATAATTCCATTTGCTTTGGGTTTACTCACATTCTGCGAATTGGATTGCATGCACCTTGGCCTGACTACGTAGGTTGCATAAGTGTTTAAAACCGTTTGGTCACGAGCCGAACAGAAAACATCCAAAATCCCTCATCTTCTTCCCAAGGTGACCTTGGAACTCTGCCTACCTGGTATGGTGAGTTGTATAACGAAACCCTTTGTCCTTATTAACAATATCCCGTCAACACTGGATATATCCATCTAAGTCAACCTCACATAGAAGCAGACATCTGTCGTCAGTTCTTATTTAAACTGATAAGCAAAACAGTCCAAATCATTGAACAAGCCATGGGACCCAGTGGAACAGCTGTACGTGTATTTATGTTGGAAGAGTGAACCTGTTTTAATTTCAGCGGAGCAGATACATGCACTGAACTCCTCAAGAGACCAAGGAAAACCCACGCTTTTTCCTTCCCCTCACTACAGTCGTTGCAGCATGTACCCCACGACCTACGCGTGGAGGTCAGGTTTTTTAGGTACAGTTCAGCCTCCTCCCAACTGGTTCCTGTTTGCTATTGGATAAGGTTCTCCCTGAATAATTACAATGCATCCTACATCCATTAATCACAAGAGGCCTCCACTTGGCAACAAGGGCGCATGGTACCTCCTCTTCAAACCCTCCCTGTTCTTGTTTCTTTACTTCAGTTTTTGAGACATGAACTTATGTGACCTTCCTTAACATACTGGTTCCCATGTTCTGCTGGGTCTGTTTTATCGCTAAGCCTGCATACCAATTTTCCTGCCCACTTAATGTTTGAGGAAGGCCACCCAGATCTTTGTGTTGCACGAGGCACCCCCTTTGAAAATGTTTTCCTTCTAGCATAACAACCCAAGCTTTGATGGAAGTATCAAACAAGGGCATTGACGTTCATTGCTTTGACATCACTGAAAGGTCACACCTGATGTTATCAATGATGAAAAGGAATTGATATTTCATACAGAGTTACATACAAGCCACTGGAGAGTTCGTGTGTCTGTCCCCCGTAGGGACCTTAAGAACTCTTGTCACGTGTCTTACTGAAAATCACCTGAGGAAATGCTTTTGCATATCATGAAGGTCTTCAAGCAAGCACCATTGTCTTGAGGCATCAGTGTTTTTGTGTTTTTCCAACAGATTGTCGTCCCAATTAAGAGCCAAACAAATCTCAACCAGGCTGTGGCGTTGATGGACCACAACCCCACTGCCAAGAGCCTCCGCATCTATCTGACACCGATCCAAACGGGTACCAGCACCGCGACCGTCGCCACAACCACTGTGGGAGGATATCACAAGGTAGCTTCGTCACCGGAGATTCTCGCGTCACTGTCGGGACCCGGATCGGGGTCGGTCACGTATCACGAGAGTGTCACAGGAGGAGGGGAACTCTACGACACAGCTGTGAGTGCTCTCTGTGTATTCAACACAACAAGCAACCAAGTCTGTTCTGAGCATAGAGCTGTGTTAAATTACTAGAAGGCTCACTGTGCAGAGTAAAGCCTGCTTGAGTCAATTAATCATATCCATTCACAAACCTACGGAAAACTTAAAATTGTGTATGCCTTTTGTATGGCCATGTGCATATCTACATCTGCATCCTCAAATGATGCATTTACAAAGCCAGTGTGGTAAAAATGCAAATGTATAAAGAGTAACTGAGTGTTTCATTGGGCTCCATGCAAGCAATGCAAATGTGTGCACATTGTGCTGTGGACAACTTTTTCAGTGCATCATAGTGAACTATAAAAAAAACTTGGCCCGTAGCATTTTGAGCACATTTTTCGGAATTTGTTCGATCATATTTTCAGTAGGTTCCTCAAATACGCTCGTGAATTCGAAGTGTCTGCATGCAGGAGGCCTTTAAACACAGGCAATTAGGAGTTAGTGAATTAGCTCTATGTTTCGAAGCCATCTGGCTTATCAGGTTATCTCTAGTTTCCTTGACATGAAACATCCGAGACTATGTCAATTCCCGAATGGGATGCCAGCTCATCGCAAGGTACTCCCCAGCTGCTGGTAATGCTGGTACCCATTGATACTACTAGATGGAGAGGGGCAAGTACAGGGGTGAAGTGACCCGCCCAAGGCCACAACATATGCCCAGCGGTTCGATACCAACCCTGACCCTCTGGCCGTAAGGTCACAACCCTTGACCTGTAGGTCATGTGCACTCCCCAGTAAGCGCAATCCATGATTTACCAGAAAAGAATCGGTATCGTTGAAACTTCACGAGCTAGTGAACTTGAGAAGCCGGTTTGAGATTCATGGAATACTGGAAAACTGTCGCCGGTGCAGTCAGTGTGAAAAACAAGCCATCCAGGAGTCAAATAACAAGCCAAGTGGCAAGTAACTGCGGATGAGCCATGTCACAGTCTATCTGAATAGCTTGTCACTTGACACAGACTAGATTTGTAACACATGCATGCAATTCACCCCACTGTAAGAGATGGTAGGATTTGGGTGTAGAGATTTTGTGATGAGAGGAGGGTGAAGGGAATATCTGAATAATACATGCTCAGATACTGCAAAGAAGAGTTGAGGTTATTTTGACAGAAGACCATGATCAAGGCAACAGATTTCAGAGAAACGCTGCATATTATCAAAGGAATTACCCGAGAGGCTTTCACCTTGGTTCAACTTAACCAACTGTCTGTATCCCTGTTGGTATCATTCATAACAAAAAGCATTTCCATATAGTTGTGTGTAATGGAGAACTGTTCGGTGATCGTGTGTCTCTATACATTGATGTGGAAGCTAGGATTGAAGATCCAGTCTCTGTCTGTTGTGTTGTGTGATAGCAGCAATTAACCTGTGGTAGCCCATCCCTCAATCTTTGCAGATCCGCAGCGACTCCACCCACAAACCGACGACGCTGCGCTCCCAGTCAATTCCCCAGGCGCCCACCCCCAAGGTGCCGCAGAACCTGACCAACAAGCGACATTCCACGCCGGTGGAGATGCCTGCCCGGGACACGCCCTCCCCGCCCCCGGGCCACGTCCCCACCGAGTCCATGCAGGACATCATCCGGGACTCCACTTGTGGGGAAGGGCGGTTCATTCCCGAGCCGGAGTCGGAGGTAAGTTGGGAAAAAAAGGGGGGAGGGGAAGAAGAAGGAGGCAGCTTTTTCAGCTGCAAACCACACAGGCTTGCACCTTTTCCTCAGATGGACCAATTTTCCCTCCTTTCCACCTGTCATGTATGCGTTGGAATTGAACCACACTCTAAAACCTTATGTAGTGTAGAATTTCTTTCCTTCGAAGTAAACAGTTCAATGCTTGAAACCAAGTGCAGAAAGTAATTCTTTCACAGTGTGGCATATGATCTTGAGAATAATACTTGACACTTTTTGTCAGACGATATTTAGATGCAGCATTTGGACTTTTGATTGATCTTGCGTTGATAATCCAAACACTAAAGGCCTCTTGTACATGTACTTCATGCAAATGCACATGACAAATAAAGTTGAGGTTACATGAGAAGTTTGAAGGGAAAAGGTGCATTAGAGGTAAAAACTTGTGGTTATTTGCGGTGACCACATTTGCCAAGATGTTGCCAACTTTTGGTTTGTTTTCTTTCGCACTGAATATGAACTCGGCCTTATAACCGCCATGTCTGACATGGCCAGTTTTGCCTGAGGCGGCAGCCTTTCAGCATTTACCACCCTTCGCAGAAGCTGGCACATTTTTGGTGTGTGGTTCATTTCTGCCCTGCCAGTGAAAGATATTGCCACATAATTGAATGTTAGTGGCATGCAGAGCTAGCAGTCATCAAGTCCCAAATATTTGTCACCCAACATATAATGCTGTCAAGGTGTTAATCCTGAGATGTCCGCGTAGAAATGGAAATCTCATCCTTTTGCAAAACAGGAAATGTGCAGAGTCATTTTATTTGGCTGTCTTGAGGATGTGTGATTGAAGATTGGCAGTCATTAAATTATGCGTTCTCAGCCATAGAATTGCACCCCTTGCAGTCCCTCCTGTGGAAATGGACAATTAGAAGTTTTAGTCTCAGCGCCTGTTTGACTACTAAAGCCACACTGACACAAAATCGCCTTCCACCCATTGGCATGTACATGTACTTTCTGATTGCCGATGTTTGTGAACTTTCGCCAAGGTAGCACACTTACTCCAGAATTGTCAGTTGTTTGAGTTGATGAACATAACCGTCTAAACCCGTTGGGCCTTCCAACCCTCTCACTGAAAAAAGTGACTGCTTCATAACTCTAAACTTTTTCACCTTACACAACCTTTTATAACTTGTGAAATCGTGTGTTGCATTGTCTTCCCTAGCAACAAGATCATGTGATGATCAGCAGTCCCAATGGTAGCCACCAGTCACTAGACAAGCCATTCTACGGCGGGAGCCAGTCATTAGGAAGGTAGTGACCTTTGACATTTGCAAGTTTATAACAACTAAGTTCTATCACATAGGCCTCGCGTAATTTAAGAATCAGCTGACACGCAAAAGGAAAAGTAAAATTAGAAGTCTGCTGCATAGCAAACAAGCCACATGAGAAACAAGAAAGAATAATTTAATGATAAAGTTCCCAGAAAAAAATCCAGGTCAAAAGTAAACAGTATTTCGTTCAATTTTATTCAACACATCCTGAGTTTGCTAATGTGACATCCGTATTTTGGTGCACCCTCCCCCTTAAAACCAGCTAATCTTTGGATAGGGGCTGTCATGTTAAGATGTGAAGTGTCTATAAACAGGGATTGAATGACATGATTCTGTAAGCCTTGGTTTGTAATCAGGCACCCTGTGTTAGAGCTGACGCCTGAAGTCTTCACGCAGTACGTGCCATGTAACGATTCTGGGGTTAAATTCAAGGTTGAAAGTTTTGGCTTGAGGAAGTTGAACAGTTCGGCAGGAAATCAAGATAAAAAGCTTGCCATTTTGCTGTCTCCTCCAATTTGTATATTTGAATGCCGTGTCTTTATTCCTTAAATACTTTTATTCTTTAAATTAAGTTTAATTTCTACAATGTGCTCAGGGTTGTAAAGCATGGACAATGGCAACATTAATGATGTTTTTACAGCATTAAAGATCCACCTGGTGATAAAAGGGGGAAAATGGAACAGGAGCATTGTTATTTCCAGTGAAGCCGACTGGGTTTCTGTCAAACGCCAAGCAATTAGGATGCAAGTTGAAGCCAGTGGCTAGGGAGGAAATGTTCTATTAAACCATCAAATAGTTGCATTTGGGGGGCAGGATTTGTTGATCCAGATGTCAGATCTGTGCTTCTCTGCACTCCCAGAGCAGTCGACACCCTATTCCCACAACCCCGTGTGCAAATGTTACCTTCTGATCAATGTCCTGGCCTACTTACTTAGAAAAAAAAGACCCCTGTGTACATGAACTCACGTCGTACATGTATGTACATGTATATGCAAAGTTGGATGAATCAACTGCAGGATCTTGGCAAGGGATCTTTAAAGGGCATCAGTGAGACACTGGATTTTTGAAAGCATGTTTTTTTCCTTGATTTGAATGTGAATGATTGGAATTATTCATGCAACCTCATTTTCCGTTGATGCAATATGTGCTTCAGCACACCACATTGCTAGATGGAAATACCACAGAAAATTCCTTTTGGTTGCCCAAAAAAGATTTCTGAGTATATTTCCTTCAAATAATGACACTCTACATGTACATGTATATCCCCTCTGCTGGACGTCATTGTCGCTTTAAGTGGACAACAATGAGGTCTGTAGTTGGTAATTTCATCTCTTTCAAGCATGTGCTTATGGGCCATTCCTTTTCAATGCTTTCATCATAACCCATTTTGGTTTGATTTTTTTTCTACAGTACGAGTGGTAGAATGTTCAGGGCACAAAGTACAAACAGCTATGAAGAATTTTCAAGTGAGTTCATCAGATGAGTGATTTTAATTGGTTTCTGTATTTCGGAATCAGTAGTTTGAAAGTTGTCAGGTTATATTGTTTTCATCGGATAAATTTGAATGGATGAATATTGACAAGTATTGAGGTCAGTGGTGCAAAAATATTATCGGCTTAGTCTTTGAGGTTATTCCTGTTTGGCATTATGAACATTTTGTTTAACCAAAATGTATTCTCCAAATGAAAACTTGACAGAGTGTTCCATTGAGCCGGTGTTTATGCTTGGTCTTGTGGAGGTTTTTCGACAGAGTTTTTTTTGCTAGGCATTTTTGCATTGTCCCAAATGCTCTTTACTTCAGTTGGTTCCTTTTTGCTTTTAATTCTGATGAATAAATTGAGAGCCAAAGCTGGGGGCATTTTCAGAAGCCTTAGAGACTAAATATAGTGTCGAAGAAAATGTAAAAAAAAGAAAGAAAATGTGTCTTTTTTTTTGTCATCAGGTTCACAGTATCCAGAGAGATCAGGGAAGGGTGGAACATTTCCTACGAGGTACAGCATGAAGAACTCCCAGACAGAATATGATGATGGTAAGACACGGCAGGGGACTCACTTTCCAAAGAGTGGCATCCTTTTCCATCCTTAAAAATGATTGTTAAAAAGGAATTAAAGCAGATTTCTTAGTGTTTTTAGGGAGGAATTGGAACATGTCGGTGAAAATGGCAGAGAATTTCCAAGGAACCAATTACAGGTCTGATTATCCTGTTGACCTGCATCTCGTCTGGTTTTGATCCGCTGTTTGCATGAAATGAAGACAAGCCCTTATTAAAGTAAAAATGTACGAGAGACAGGTTGGCTTTTGTCTGCAAAATCACTTGTAATGATGTAAGTCCATGTATGTGGCCACATTGACCCTGTGGTATCCAGCATGGCTTCTTGTCGAAAACGTTTCATGGATCATGCCTGAATTACTTGGCTAAAGTTGAGAAGAATAGGTGTGCCTCTGTAAGTTACTGACTAACAACTGGTAGGAACCATTTCCCAAAGACGTGTCTGCTGTTGCAATTTACAATTTGTAGCTGACCAATTATGACACAACCATAGCTGCTAGGTATATGTTACCAGCCCGAGCTCACAAAATGAGTAATAAGCCTCCAGAGCCACATTAATAATCATTTGGAACCCTCAACATCCTTCATCAGCAATAATGTCTATAATATGTTCTCCCATCAAGATGCCAAACTAGAGGCATTGTCAAAAAGCTGAGCTCGGTTTCCTCTTTGTATTGCAAACCAAAATAAAATTCCTCCAAACCCCCCCCCCCCAGCCCTGTTAAAGACCCATTTGTTGGATCCTGCATTTATAAACCTCCGCACTGGAGGAGTTTAGGACAGGGCCAGGACCAGTGTTGTAGTAGAAACCTGTCAATAACATCACAAGACCCCACAACACTATCACAAGACCAGATCAAGACCTCCAGTCTGAATTCAAGTCATAAGCTGTCCAAATAAACTCCAACAACAGGATTTTTCTGTTGTTGTTAAACCTGCTACGTGTGATCATTCTTGTGTCTGGTCTTGTTAGTGGTCTTGCGTCTGGTTGTGTGAGACTTAGACTGTGAATCACAACATAACGGTGTCTGCACCCGCCGTCCCCTCTGTCCAGGACGCAAGACGTTCCCCAGCCGGTCCCGCCGGCCCCAGCTCAGCCCCAGCCTGATGAGCCGGGGGAGTGGGGAGGAGCGGAGCGAGGCCTACAGCCCCCACGGCAGCGAGCACTCACTCAGCAAGAGCAGCAGCAGCAGCGGCATCGGGGCGGACTACGACACACTGGACAGCCGGCGCCGACGGGACAGCGAGCTGGAGCACTCCATCAAGTCGCTGCAGGAGATGGGCCTCAAGGAGAACGCCAAATGTGAGACCATGATGTGTATGTCGGCTTTTTCCTCTCTGTCTGCTTAGGCCTTTTCCTTTAAGAACTTCCTTTAAGAACCTCTGTTTCGACTACATGCACACTGGTCTGAATTACGCCAATCTGCAAATTAAGAAGCTTTTCATAGGCAAAACAAAATCGCCAAATCAAGAAACTGTTTTCCGCCTTGTACAGGAATTCAATTTACTGCCAGTTTCATAGACGTGAGCACAGAAATACATACCTAAGGACAGATTCAAAATGTTTGCTTATAAGTGAAAAACGGTTACTGGTCAAAATCTGTGTGGCTGTTATTTCCTGTGACTGGCTATCACCTGAATTGTGCTTAGAATGTAATGTTGCTTGACAGCATTGGTGCTTCACAGCCCAATGAAAGTGAACTAGGGGCTTCAGTCTTGTGGCAGTAGATTAATAGCCATTACTTGTGGATGCTAATTTTTGCTCAGTGAGAATATGCAAAGCTGTATTTTCTGTTGTTGAAGATGTTTCATCTTCGAGAACTTAAAGTTAGGCCATGGTGTTATAGATTCTCAAAGAGGTCCAATTTTTACAGAGCTAACTGGAAATGGCTCAACTGATAATCTGTGCCAAGAACTGTTAAGAAGCAGTACACATTCAAACACTTTCTGGCAGGTTACTCATATATGCTAAGCAGAACGTTGTGAGATTTAACAAACATCTTTTTGTACTCAGTAATTCCTTTTGAATGTATCGTTTAGATTTTTGCATAGGCTCTACGTGCATGCTTATGTTGAGGAAAAAATGTTGGACGGGCTGAGGAAAGATAATTTCTTTCACCTTTTTTCATGGGCTTGGAAGCCGTGATTCACATTTTCTGCCACTGTCTTTGTTGTGTCTGATTGTGACTCAGTAACTAAGAGAAAACTCGGTTCTCACACTACAAAGGTGGAAGTGGGAATGCAGATGAAAATTTTCTTATACAGATGGATAGTGATTTTAATGTAGTCCTGTTGCAGCCTTCTTGGTGAATCATTCCTGAAAAATTGAAGAAATGTTATGTTGAGAAGAATTCTACAAGTCTTAAAACCTAGAACAAAAGCCTCACCTGCGGACATTTGGAGACAAAACCAAACATCATCAAGTGACAGGGTTTTAGCCACACTGCTACGCCATTTTAAATTCAAAGACATGAGGTGTACTGTCTTAGTGTGTCAAGGGTTTGACTGACATTTTCCATGGTTTGCAGCTCCCCGGGCACCGGTCAACTGGCGCAAGGGCAAGATCCTGGGTCAGGGGGCATTCGGGGTCGTTTACCTCTGCTACGACGCCGACACAGGCCGGGAGCTGGCGGTGAAGCAGGTCCCACTGGACAATAACAACACAGAAGCCAGGAAGGTGAGCAGTCCAATGGGCTTGAAGAGAGGAATCCTCCTCTTCCAGTTACACAGCTGAACAATGAAATGCATTTGTATCTGATTGAAATTTATTTTCTGAAGCACTCCATAGAAATTGCATGTTTTCTGTGCTTTGCATAGATCTGTAATGGTAGAATCTATAAACTGAGGCGATATCTCTCTTGTGCATTGGTAGGTATGCACACACTTAATTTTTTTCAATCAGTTGGTGCCGTCATCAAACTTACATGTGCACCAGTTATCAGAGAATGTGACTTCAACTGTGACATCAGCTCAGCAATGGCTTCCAACTGATTTCAGGTGAAGTCATTGTTATTCGTGGCACACATAGACTTAACATTCTAAGATTACTCGTTAACCTCCACAGTCCTCAATCACGTAGTAGGTGGAGGAATAAGAACTGTAAGGGTTAAACGTATGTAAGGAGGAAGGTTTATTTGAACTGGCTCGGTGCATTGTGTCTTTTGGGGGGGAGTTTAGCTTGGGAAAATGTTTCAAAATTTACATGGCATTTAAAAAGCAGTGCATCTTAGATTCCAGTCAGTCACCTAAAAGACATGTCGGATTTTATTAAAGTGAAGGAAGCAAGGTAAAGTATTTTTTTGTAAGCATGGCTTAACAGTAGTTCTAAAACCTGAACAAGTGTAAGTGAAAACCATCTTATTGATTCGGTACATCTGCAGAACCGTAACTGCCAGATCTGGATTTTCACACAATCTAGTCTTCACTGTTTCCTGCATGTGGACATTAACTGGGAATATAGTTAGGGTGTCGTGATAATGGGTCACACTTCATTTCAAATCAACATGTACACACTTCACTGTCTTTCTCTGAGATGTTTTCACTTTTAACAAGTCCATCAGGTTACCTCTGGAGAGAAGGCTTTTTTGTTGATCCACTTCGACTAACTTTTGAAAAAAGGGATGTGGCCTAGTGGTTAGGTTCTGTAGCTTCTGAGCATGGGGTCAATGGTTCATATCCTGCTGGTGGCAGCATGTTATGATCCTAGGCAAGTCACTTTACCCCTGTGTGCCTGTCTCCACCCAGGAGTAAATGGGTACCTGTGAGGGCAGACACAGTTGTTTAACCGTTTGCGCCAAAATAGCAGCACCGGGCTAGTATATTCCCCAGTGATCCGAGATGGTTTCAGGAATGTTCAGAGGATGTGTGAGCCCAATGTGCAGGGATAATGATAATACAGTGCCTCAGAATAGTTTGCTGGATGGATGGTGCTTTACAAGTGCTTGTTGTTATTATTGTTATTAAAAACTTTGCAGGAAGTGAAAGCCCTGAAATCAGAGATTGAGTTGTTGAGAAACCTTCACCATGACAGAATAGTGCAGTACTTTGGATGCTCCGAGGTCAGAGATGTCCTGTCCATCTTCATGGAGCTGATGCCAGGGGTAAGTCGTGGCGGAGTTTCAAACATTATTAAGAAAAGGTTTTAGAATTATTTGGGGGAAATGTTGAGGGAACGTGGTAATGTGCTTTTTATACAACTCGTAGAAATGCACTTTTCTGTCTCATTTAACATTACTTTCACTTTTTTGCTTTGCTATTTTGAAGGGTTTTCAGTGCCTCTTGGTTTCTATGCTGAGTACCAGTATTTCACATTCATGAGGAAGCTATGATGTCGTTCCTTGCAGAAAACCACAATGTTACGTTGATATATGTAAAAAGAAATTAGGAAAATTTTCTGCTTTTTTTCTGTGATTTATTTTGTATATGTAAACGACAATAAACCAATGAGCAACCCTTTCTCAGAAATGTTTTCAATGAGCCAATTTCAGTTTTCTCATTTAAAACTTAAATAAACAGTGTATTCCCAGATTGACATCACAGCAACAGTGCCCTCAATTGTCCGGCAAAGCAAGGACATTGAGCTAGTTGTGCACATTCAGCTGAAATTTACAGGCATGCCTGTTGGCCATGTATATGCTCCAACCATTGTGTGCTTATCTTGCTACCATCAAGTACTGACACTCAAAGGGAACAAAACATTTTTTCCTGTCCATGGTTGTTCAAGCCGGTCGTCTGTGGTTCTGAGTCTGTACGTAGTCTGCCGGAGAGTGTTATCATGGGAACAAAGGGAACTAGTGCCATTTCCTCTTAGCATGTGTAAAGCTTGTTTGCGCCCAGGGGAATGTCGTCAGTGCTTTTTCTGTCTTCAGAGCGGACCCCGTTTATATCATCTGGTTTCAGTCTGACTGCACATAAGAAATTCTTACAATTCACCTGTCATGTGTAGCCATTAGTCCTGGACACTGTGTACATGCAGACCACTCTCATTTTGCCTTCTTTTGTGGGCGGTCAAAGGTTTGCTGAAATGTCATCCTTGGTTGGTTTTGTATTTATACCTCAAAATAGTACATTTACCCTGTTACTTTCAAAGAGGGTCATGTTGTCGTGTAGTATTCAGTAGTAGGTAGTATGATTTGATGTTTTGATTTCTGGATGAGATAACACTTTATTGCTTTACATTTGTAATGACGGCCAGAGCTGCTTGTAGGCAAAAACACTGAGTAGAAAAAGGAGGCCCCACATAAGCCCTTAGAAGTTTTTCTAACTTTTTCTCTTCTTCTCCCACTTTACCAATCTGCAGGGCTCGGTGAAAGATGAGCTGAGAAGTTATGGTCCACTGACGGAGAACGTAACAAGAAAGTACACGCGGCAGATCCTGGAAGGAGTTGCCTATCTTCACATTAGTCACATTGTACATAGGGATATCAAAGGTGAAGAAACAAAATAGGATTTTTAGTTTTGCACTGCATAATCACGTGTCTCTTAGGTCTTTGTAAGAGCTGATGAAGGAAACTTTTTGTAGGATCAAGAACTCTCAGGGGTCACTGTAGGTTTGTGGAGAACCGTGGAAAAAGGTCCTGGAAAGTCACAGAGAAGTCAGGGAAAATTTGGGAAACGCAGTGTGTCCTGGAACCCTGTTGTCAGAGAAAAAAGCCATTGAAAATTTGGGAAATGTAGTGTGTCCTGGAACCCTGTTGTGAGGAGGAAAAGTCAAGGAAATCAAGATCATACTATGGTTATTTTTGATAGGCTGCTTTTGATGTACATGTAATAATGGAATAATGATGAGGTTTTAGGCTATCCAGTTCATAATATGTAACAATTTTCTGTGCGAAATGGTGTTAAATGTCAAGGAAGTTGTCATAATTTAGTCCTGAAAAGTCCTGGAAAAGTCATGGAATTCGTTTCTCAGATTTTTGCACTAACCCTGCACTGGTTGATATATATATGCAACTTCGATGTATTTTCGGGCTTTGACAAGTATTTGCTTTTTCCTCCTTGAATTGAATAAGGTGCAAATATTCTGAGAGCGGGCTCAGGGAACGTCAAGCTAGCTGACTTTGGTGCATCACGGCGGTTACAAACGATAGCAAGCTACGTGACAGGCATCAAGTCTGTAACGGGGACGCCCTATTGGATGAGCCCTGAGGTAATCAACGGCATCGGGTACGGCAGGAAAGCCGATGTCTGGTGAGTGCTTTTCTTTCTGGATGGCGGGGCTTGTTGGAAAAAATTGCATAGCAACTTTGTGTTCTGTACAGAAATCTTCTGAGAGCCAGTCACAGGGGGCTGGTCCCATTTTGTTCTTTTTAAGTTGACACATTTGCTAGTACTTCAAAAGTTTTGCTTTTTCAGAGAGATGTTACCAACCTGAAAAAAACTATGTGATGGGAATTGCAGGTGGTTGGCTCCTTGCTTGTATTGGTCAAGAGCTTTTGTCTGGTTGTTTCTTGACACTGGGTCTTGATATAGGGCCAGTGTACTCCTTGGGACAGTGACACTAGGCTCTGTCAGACTCACAATTTTCTTTCTTTCCATTTTGTTCTGTTCAGGAGCGTGGGCTGCACGGTAGTAGAGATGCTGACTACCAAACCGCCCTGGGCCGACTATGAGGCAATGGCGGCCATCTTCAAAATTGCCACCCAACCAACCATCCCCCAGCTGCCCAGCACAGTGTCAGACGTGGCGCGGGACTTCCTGCAGCTCATGTTGATTCGAGACCCCCAACAAAGGCCCTGGTCACACGAGCTGCTCCGGCATGAATTTGTAAACAATTTCTCCGTGGACTGACACTGCTGAGTGAAATGTGGGAAAGCGGTAGGCCGTTTGCATCGACGGGCAAGGAGATAATATATCGGTCTTAACGTTCAGCAGTAGGCTTTCCAATTCTGAAGACACAGAAAACTGAGATGTCTTCACTTCACTGGATTTGATACAACAGTGTGTATTCACATGCCTACCGTTACTTGTCTTATATTGCAGAAAACACAAAACACATTCCTTGACTGAAATGCCAGCCATTTATTTTTTCTCAGTTACTAGTACAGCCAGGAAGATGTGCTTCAAACTATATCTGGAACTCAAAATCACATGGGTTTTGGGAAGAGAACAAGTGGTACTCTTGTGTAGACACAAGAAAGCAGCATTGCATCATGTATGACAGCTGGTAACCAAATGGCATCTGGCTCTGTGGCTGGTACCTAGTAAGTGCCAAGTCATGTCTCCGAGGAACTGGCGACTGTCCCAAATCTATTTGCCTCAGAAATGTTGAAGTGTTCCATCATCACTGATATTGAGCACATCGTCACTGGTATCCTGGAGCATTCTTGAATGTCCTGCAAGTTATGGAGCACCAAGTTTGATGCTGGTAGTCGTCCTGAAGTAAACTGGTTAAACGTTACGGGTACTACCGACACTGTCACCAGCACCCCACAGTATCTTCTCATCCTGTACTACCTTTTCTTTGCACAACTGTGTTGAGTGATGATACAGTGACTTACATGTGCTTGACGGCCTTGGTGTTTGTGCAAAGGCCCCCCCAAAAAAGATGGCATCAAAGCCTGAATGACTATGGCTCAATAATCAGGAGCTTGTGCTCGGAAGCTGAAACAGAAATAAATAGCCCCGTGTCAACCACTTGGGGAATCGTCTTTTCTTTTTTTTCTGCTTTTTTTTGGAGGGTGACATCATTTAGACACACATGAGTACAAGAGTAACATGAACATATGTTAGATACCAGTCCCTTTAATCGACCAATTGCAATGCAGAGGGTTCCCCCCCCCAAAAAATGCTACGCACTAAATACAATTGATGTATCACCGCACTGGTCAATGTTGCTGAAATCAGAGGTGTGTGATATTTTTCACTGCATGCCATTTGTCAAAGTCCCAGCTGATTCAAGTTGTTTGTTGGTTGCAGCTACCCCCAAAGTTGAAGAAAATCAAATTAGAGGAAATACTTTGGGGGAAAACTGTGACTTTTTCTTACTTCCTTCTCATTGACTGATATGAACGCAAAAGAAGTCTCATCCAGTTTGTGTCCCATGAATGTGTTTTGAAGTGAACAGACAGTTGCAGGTCAACGTGTGGTTGAAGTCTTGTTACCTTTTGTCTGAAAATCTTTTACAAATTCCCCGAAACTGGGGAAAAAAAAGCCATGGTTGCTGTAGATGGGTGCATTGAATCACACGGATATTTCACAAAATTGGCATTGCAGAAAAATAGCAAAATTACTAGAAAAGACATTTGGGTTCAAATGTGACTCTAAACCCGGATATTATTTTGTTGAACCAAGGCAGAATTGTATCCTGTCCCTGTTTTAGTTCTGTTGTAAATATAAACTGCATAAATATGATGTCACCACGGTCGTTCAAAATAAATTTGCAACTTACGTGACAGTTAATGTACGTTCCATGTTCAAAATTGCGGCAAGACTGTTCTGTTGTACATATCATAAAAACACTCTTTTTCGATTGTGACGTCGACATACATGTATATTGCACGTTCCTTGTACATAAAACCCAGGAACTGTCACAACGAAATTTTTTTTTGAGAACTGTAATTATAATATATCATATATATGAATTTCTAGTGCAGACAGTTAATCTGTATATTGATTTTTTATTTACAAACGTGAAAACAAATGTTACCATACTATTTTTCTTCTGAAGTGCCTCCCTTTTAGGTCTGGGCAGAGGTGGACAGTGTGTATACATGTATAGACAGTGATTGGACTTTGGGTGTAAAAGATTTGTATGGCAAAGAAAAATGGTTTCCTAAACAGGAATGTGAGATATACATATATATAAATATATTTTCATTAATGTATGGGAACTTTGTTACTTCCTTTCGCCTGATAAATTGCACAACTTGATGCCAATATTAGTTAGATATCTTTCACAACCGTCACTAGGACTTCCTAGTCTGTTCACCATAGCCGCCTGGGATATGTTGCTGGGAATCTGCCTGAATCCTCTCAAATCTCACACTGTTCCAGAAACCACTGGCACATTCCACTCGGTGGCCCGGCCATACACTCCCCAATCCTGCAAATGGCATGCACAAACTATGTAGGAAAAACTTTTGCCTAACACTGCACAACAAATGCAGCCGGAGAGTGTCAGCTTGTGCTGTCAGAAGCGAATGGTTCTTTGATGCACAAAGTATGCAGGTCCAGTCCCAAAGAAAGTATGTCTGGGACTACTTGTACTCAAGTAATCCACTTGACTTCACTGCAGCAACCTGTGCCATTTGTACTAAAGATGAGCGGAGGAAATGTATACATGTACATAAAATGAGAATCCTCTAACATCTCTTCAGAACTGTTTTCTGCTGTTTGTTTTCTTCTCCCTTTGGAAGTGAAACAAAATGTGCACCTGTTTCATTAAAATTCAAAGTCTTTAACGAGCACCAGCACGCATCTACTGATGATCCGTATCATTTAGGACTGGTTTTCATGAGGAGAACCAGATGTTGAGGATGATACCCTAATCAGTTGGCCTGTAGTCATCTCTGAATCCCCTTCCTAACTGGTTGCAGAGCCCACCAAGTTGTTTCAAGCAAGTGAGAGTAAGATTTCTTTCAATAGTAGTACACGTGGCGGCTGTTTCAACCCTCTACAAATTGTGATGAGACACGACTCAATTGAGAGCAGTAGACAGCCACATCTAGTGAAGAGCCTCACCCAAGGGTTTCAAGCATTTTTGGTCCTCTGGTGACATTTTGACCCCCATTCCACAAGTCCCTCTCAAAAGCCGTTCACAAAACAAGGAAATGCTCTGCAAAAGAAGGAAACCTTCACTTGTCAGCCAACCTCCACAACAAAACTAGAACGCCAAATACTTTTAGAATGCCTAGCTCTGGTCATCCAGATGGGTTTCAATAAATTTTAAGAAGTGCTTACTGAAAGTAAATCATGAAGAAAATATGATTTGTCCATGCTATTTGAATCATATTTTTTCTCTAGTTTAGGATAGACCCCACCTTTCAGTAATTTTGTAGTTCTATGACAACTTGTCTTCTGAAGCAAGTTCGAGTTCTGAGCATTATCAAGTTGTACATTGAGATATATTGTAGTGGACATCCTTGTCTGTTTTCTTTGTTGCACAACTGCAGTTAGTCCTTTTTCTCTCAACGACAGTGATAATTTGCATGTAGTTGTCACACCTGAAAAACTGATGTGTGTTCTGGGGGGCGGGGTTAATCATAACACTGGAAATTAAATGGAATTAAGAGTAGGAATTGAATTCCTGATTCTTACATGTCCATCAGTCACTTATTTCGCAGCCAGCCGTAAACTTTGCATTTAGGTATCTGTGTGTGACAGTGTTACATATCATGATGACACTCCTGGAGGTATAATTTAAGCCCCAAACTGACTCACTGTATGAACCAAATTCATGGGGGGGGGCGAGCTTGCAGCATCAGCCACAGATGTTTTCAGTTTAATACAGTGGTGCAATTGACACTGTGTTTAATGAATGGAAAGTTCATGAGAATGTTGTCAATAACTACCTCTGCACCGTCTGGAGGGCAGGATTGTAGTTGTTCACACAAGACTTTCTGATTACTCCTTTGAATGTTTCCCTGCACACATTGACGATACTATGCAAATATGGCAGACTGCACCAAAGCCTCTCATAAAGTTCATGCACCATTACAGTCGAAGAATGCAGCAGCCAGATTTTTCCCAATAAATGCATTTGGCTGGGTGTAGAATTTTTTATGTTTCCAGTTGGCCATCTGTTGTTTGCCTGATCTTTGACCCCCTGATATTCTTTGGAATGCCGTAAAGTTCTCCAACTGCAGTCCAATTCTTCTCTGTATACCAGATTATTGTAACATATTAGACACTCTGCAATTAGGGAGGAAAAATCCAAAAGAAATAAAAGACTTATGCACATCACTCTGACCAACAGGTTTTCTAGAATGTGGAGATGAATTATAGGAATTTTTTAATGGGCCGTCTTGTGCCAAACAACAGCCGTAATTCTGTAGACGGAAAGTAAACTTGATAAAAAAGATTTTGCCTTTGTACATCTTCACACAATAATGCAGGTTTTATATTCTATGCCATCTTCAGCAACCATGTACATGTATTTGTTCATCATTTTATATAAAAAAATTGAAACAAGAAAAAAAAATAAAAGATGAAATAAATTGTACTGAATTTGAGTTGTCTGTAATTTAGATGTGCATTGTGCAGTTGGAAGTTTTCTTACAGCTGTGATTGTTAGAGAGTTGAGTTGTTACGAGCTCCCATTGGATAGAATTGATTTCACCTTTGACCCTACATATATGGGCTATGGCAACAATGTGTCGGGAAGGCTTTGTGCTTCCTTCATTTTATTCTGTGCAAGAGGATTTTTTTTTCAGTGCAATCTTGAAACTCAGCTGTGCACATTTATTGTACTCCATTCTGAGTTGATTTGCCATTGAATAGAATCCATTCATAGGATAATCAACTCAGGAGGGAGGACTATGAAGCCAAGCAAGAGTCAAGATGATGCTGAACATTGTCACAAGCACACTGACGTAGGCAAGTTAAGATGCCTATGATCTTGTTTACGTTCATGTAAAATTTTCTGACAGGTGAGCAGACTGACTAACAAAAGCAAGTTACCAGTCAAACAGTCATGCTACACATATTGGTGTGATTGGTGTTTGCCAGGTTAATGTTTAGCGTGTGAATTTGCTGAGCAACTGTTTTTTTTCCCAGCTATTGAAGCAGCTATATACATGCATTGGATTCTGGTTGACAAGTAGGTGTGTCAAGTGAGGAGGTGGGCACCCAGGCAAACAAGGTGAGCAACTAAGTGTTAGAGCAGGCAATTAACAGGGGAGCAGACTAGGCTAGCTTGGCAGTGATAAGCATGGAGCCTAATAAATAATACAAGAGTACTAGTAAGCAAGCAGTGGGAGCAAGGTAGAGTCCATCTGGTTGGCTGGTATGGACTTGCACTGCAAGACAGCCATCAGAGCCAGCTGGCATGTGTAGTTGTTTACTTTCCAGACACCTGTACATTTTTGTTGCCTTTTTTTTTTAACATAATGTGACTCATTCTGAAATCACCTCTCCACCTTGTTACACAACTGAAGGATTTGGGGGTCTTTTAAGTTTTATGGGAGACGTTGCCAGAAAATGTGAAAGAAATCTTTACCACTTTGGGTAGTTGAAAGCAGAGGTGTTGTAGCAGGTTCCCAAAACGTTGCCCATGTAATAAAGGGCGCATTGGGTCAGTAGGGTGGATGTGCAAAGGTGCTGCAGCCACATTGTGTGACAAACATTGAGACAGGCCTGCTGGTAGTCTGGGCATTGGGGGGTCAGTGGGTAAGCTGCTGATTGTGCAGAGAAGCCCAAGAGGAGGCTTGTGGCCAGACAGTTAACGCAGTAAACAGTGGGAAAGTAGGATGATGAAGGCGCAACATTTTCAGGCACCCAAAGAATAGGCCAGCTGGTAGATGGTTACAGGTCACTAAATGGGCCCAAAATTGCATGCTCTGGCCAAATCACAATTAGTGTGCTGTTATTTCTCTTTTACAAGAGCATTCTGTGGCTCATGAACTTGTAGCAAAGAAAGGTGGAGGCTACCAACAGGAATGCTTGTGTGTTGAGTGAGATTTGGATGAAATGATTGCTCTGAAATGGTCTACTTTGCAGTGGAATGTAGGTATCAGTTTTCAAAATGGCAGTGGGCTTCATGACTCTTTTTAATAGGTGTGACCATCTCCGGATAGAAATATCTTCAAAATCAGTGGTTAAGCCACTAAAAATGAAAAGGGGAATGAGGGATGTGGAAATGAGCTTTAATTTGATGTGTATCTTGAACACCTGAGAAGCTTGTATTTTTCCTCGGGCGGATTTCTTTCAAAGTCTGGGCATCTATCACTGTTGTCTATGGGACCGTATTTACTGGTGTATGACCAGATGGTTAATTGATGTAGTTGAGGGGGTGAACTGACCAGGAGACAAGGCAAGCTGACAGGCAGGTTGACAAGTAGGACTGCCAGTGGCTTGATAGGTTCCTTCCAGGTTTACTCCGATCACCTGTTCCATGTTTGCTGCACTACCCATGTTGAGTGCAATCGCATGATTGTGTTGCACTATCAGTCAATTTTTTGTGAAATCTGACTTTACTTCCCCTTTTTCGGAACGAACTTTCACAACCGCGAAGTAGAAAGAAAACGCGATTGGCCAATGACAGAATGGTTGGCAGATTGTGCATCAAGATTGACAAGCTTCACGCAGGTTGTGCGATTGCGCAGATCAGCCAATTGCATCTACCCATCCAACACCCACACTACAATAGGTCAAGCTTATCCCTTGCTTGTACAAGCAGGCAGTTGTGAACTTCCCTTTTAAATTTGCAACACTGACAGACAGCTGACTTGTCAATGGAATATCATGCAGTCCTTTGGTCGACCGTTTTCATCTGAAAGATTTTACTATTGTAACCACTGAAGATTGAGTGGACAACAATTAAAACTTAAATTTGTGGAAATAAATATTACAGTTCATGCAACTCAGCTCATGCATTTGTGGATTGAAATATAATGACTAAGTGCTTTTTTGAATTTTTGATTTGATGTCACAAAATGGCATGAACAAGCCACAGCAGTATAATATGGAAACCACCTAGCACACACTCTGCGCTTAATTAGAACATGTTGAAATTGGCCCTGTGTGTTACAAATTCACTGTCATGCATTTCTTTCAACCATGGATGGATGGTTACTTTTTTTGGCTGAACCTTTATGGTGAGGAGCAATATTATAACATTTCCATCTTTACAACTGAACTTTCCATAAGACATCTCAAACATTACTTCCAATATAGGTACAGCTGGGTGGTAACACCGGGGCAGTTGTAGCATAGCAAAGCGTCCTGCTTAAGAGCACTACTACTGTGCCATTTTCAACCAAAGAATCAACCTTCTCAAGACCATTCTGGGTGAGTGCAATGCCTATTTCCCAATCTACACAAAACCAAAAAACAACTCTTCACCAGTTGGAAACAATTCATGCATTCATCATGTTTATTCAACATTTTTGACTTGAAAGAAATGACATTTCTGTAATGATTTGAACATAAATGCAATAAAAACAAGGCAAAAGCTTACAGCACCACAAAATATTTTTAAACTCGACATTTTCTACAAAACAATACATGTATTTTTTATAATGTTTTTTTGGTTTCACACATCTCAATCATAATTTCAATTGGATCTTTTGTCAGTATTTTCCAATTTACTAGTCACAGCAAGCAGTTTGAAGCCAGAACAATTTGAATCCCCTCTCAAGAAACCATCTCAAAAGTGAGGCTAAAACAAATTCTAGGCAGGATTACTTTAATGGGTATTCAGCTCAGATATAACGAAGCCAGAAATTACATCATATGCGCCAAGCATCACACCTCAAAAAAAAGGCAAAGAAGCTTAGAGTAATTATTTGCTTTGCAAAATAATGAGGTATTATAAAGAAGCATGCTTTCTATTCTTAACAGACATGGAAGGTGGGCTTAACAGTTTTGCCTGGAAACTTCAGGTGTATTGGAACACATGTATGGTGCCAACTTGTAATCCAGAAAAGGTAAGCCTGAAATCATGCAATGCAAGCTAACTTCTGTGCAGAGCTGATTCTGAGAAGAAAACCACCATTTGGCAAATATGCGAAGAACCACTCACTAGGAATGTATAATGCACGACTTTTTGGTTGGTTACCCGCTTTCACAGGGCAAATGTTTTTGGCACGTGGCCAAGTTTTATGCTTTGCAGCACTACAAAAATGGTTCCAGGGGGGCATGTTTACCAGCCAAAATGTCTTTGTCTGCTGTGGTGATTCTTACTGGTCCTCTATCAATTTCTGCTTGACAAATATATGTTAGTGCATGTACATGTACACTTGCTGAGTGATAACTTCTCAGCAGCAGATGTGGAGCCTCTAGCACAGGTAGTGGAATCGGACGGAAGAGGGAGTGGGGCTGCTTTTACTTGACCTTTAAGGAGCATTTGTGCCAAACCTCCCACATTTCTACCTGTACCCCTAGGCACATGAGTTAAGACAAGGAATCCTTTGCTAATGGCTGCTTTCACTTTGCACAATTATCTGATTAAGGCACCTTTCCATATGCACCTTTTTTTTTGGTGCATTGCATGCACAATGCGTTCATGCATTTCACTTTCACAGAAACTAACATTGACTCCATAACACTTGTGTGCAAGGCTTTCCGCCATCAAAATTAACCCCGGGAGTGATTTTGACAAATACACAAATGCTTGGTGCCAGTGTTGACGTTCATATGGAAAGGTGTGTTAACATTTTCTCTTTAGAAAATCCATGAAGCTGAAGCTTGCTGGCAAGATAATCCACAGCAGTTACATGTACAGCCTTCAGAACTGTTAACATGCTGTATTTTTAGGCAATTAAGATTTAAGAACATTAAATTCAGATGAAGTGTAACACATGAGAAACAATGGAATGTACGAGCATGGAAACGAAAAAAAAGGGAGTAAAAAGAGACGGCATGTTTTTTAAATTCATGGAGGTTGAAATTGGAATGTGGTTGTAGTTAGTAATGGGTGAATGGATTGTAATTTACTAGTTTTCATGTTTTTTTGGGTGTATATGTGTAAATTTATCCACACTTAAGGGGCCCCAATGGATATAAGCCTGTGTAATTGGCTTTCTTAGGTTATCCAAGAATGAATAAAGTGTGTCTTGTTTTTCTCTATGTCTACAAATAAAATTAAGTATTTAGTAAGACTTTTCTGCAAATGAAAATACCCCATCTGGTGTAAAGTTTGAAAGGAATTTTGTTCCATTTCCCAGAACTATTGTCAACCATCTCCAACACCACCACCTTAAAAAAATATCTGCATCCAATCCTTTTGGGGATTGCAAAAAAAAATTGCGAAGTGAAGGCGGTCTAGAGAACTCTATTCATGATACTAAGGTTTGAAGTTACAAGTGCAGGTTATCAAAAAGCCGTATTTCTGAGTTCTCTAAAAGCCATGTTTATTGGTGGACTTGATGAGGCACAAAACATCACAGGTTTTAGGCCCCTTTTTCAAGCAATATTCATATGGGCCTGCATGGCCCTTGAAATCGAAGTCGTGAAAAGATGTCATTCGCTTCTTTGTACAGTGGCAGATTTGGAGGATCCAGGAAGATTTCTAGTCAAAGTCTGATCCAACAGATTTTTGGTTTGACATACAGTGGACATTAATGTGAAAATCTGGTTTGCTGTCCATGTATCCTACTTTTGTTATGTTTAATTGTTCACATAAAAATCTTTTAGCGATTTGTCTGTTTCTGTCTGAAAAGTCACTTGTACATGTGGTTATAGTGTGCTTAATCTGAAAATGGCTCCTGGCATCATTGGTTTAGATACTCGGGCACTAGGTGGGCCTGGTTCCTGTGCACTTCCCTATTGGAATGGTTTAGAAATCCAGGCTTAGCCCAGCACCAACTTAAATCTGCCCAAAAGCAAATACATGTGATGACACATGTCCCTGAATGGCCTACCTCACTCATTGTGCCAAAAATTAACAGTTGTCATACCTTCACATTCCTATCTAATTTTACATCCCATTTTCCTCGGGAGAGATGTTCAAATCATTTGTCAAAGATTGAGCAATAATTTTTACCCAGCTCTAGAGGGCACTCTATGCACTTGCTGTGGGGCATGG